TCCCACCTCTCTCCTCCCCCTCCTCTCCTCCCCCCCCTCTCTCTCTCTCCACCTCGCTCCCCTCGTCTCTCTGTTTTGCTCTCTTTCCGTCTCTCTCTCTCACATCTCCCTCTCTCCCTTTATCTTTCTTTCGCGCGCCCTCACGCGCTCTCGCTCTGTCATTCTGTATGTGCGAGGCCGAGGAGTTTGAGTGCGTGTGGATTTGTGTGCGTGCATACCTTTGCACGTGCGTGCGTGCGTACGTGTATGCGTGCGTGTGTGCGTTGCTTTGTACGTCCAGTGTTCGGAGTGAATCTATATACATGCGCCATAGTGATAGACATTGTGCTTTGTGTAACTAATCGAGCTGCGTCCTCAACACCTCAGTGCCGAGCTGCAGCACATTTACTAGTATCTGACATGTTCTCATTAATGCTTGACATAGATCATTTGTCCGGTGATATATGGAACGAATCTAATAGCGTAATGCGTTCATCATTTCATATTAATAAGGATTGTATGCACATAATGGTGCTTCTTACGTCGCCCCACATAATTAAGTCCTATACCCACTAGCGACCAATCGTTACTAAGTCGTTCCAACGCGGTGAGCAGAGACTTCATAAGATGTCAGAGATTCAGTCGATAATCGAAACATTCCGTAATAAAGTTGAAAAGCAAAAACCGGGCGAGAACAGCGTCACGCGTCGCGCTGCATTCCGCATGATTCCAGATGACACTCGTCAGTCGTGGCTTTCACGCGCGAGCGCGCCAACGCAGAATGGCAACGCGACGAGTGCTGCCGTGCCTGGCGTCGCTGATTCATCTGTCTATCGAGCCATTTCGCGAAGCATAAACGCAGAAATATTTACTAACAGTCGACGTTTTTAAAAGCAGAGGATTCTTTCATTTTTGAAGTACGAGCGAGATGAGACGCGCGTGTCAGTGTGCGGCAGCGTGCGCGCGGTGTACATGTGTGTTGCAGAGAAGCATTTGCACGGCATTTACAGGAAATTGTCGGCAATAATAGGCGAAAGAGAGTAGAGGGTAGGAAATAGAATTCGTATTTATTAACATTATATTTCATTGAAACGCTCTAAGTGCCTGTGTGTAAAAGCTACTTTCACTGTTTCACGATTTTTTATCACGATGTCTAATAAGCTTCAAACGTTTTTGTGTATACATGGGGTTTGAAAAAAATCCATTCAGTCAATTTGAGCGACAGCTCATATTTTATTCAGGTACGGTGGCATCTGGAGGGGATACTAATTATTATAGTGTGTATGGGCGCATTCCACGCGCATGTGAATACGTGCAAAAGCCACTATGAGGCCGCGGGAGACACCCTATAGTTGAGATTGACGTATGCGCGCCTAAAATGTCAAAGGTAAATTTCCATGTGGAAGCGGAGAGGTAAATGACCGAGCAACTGCAGAGTTAATAACGTTATAGCTGTTTAGCAGAGACGCGCGCGCACACACACACACAGCCGCTGCGGTTATACGATATACGTAGTTACTACCCGCGCTAAGCAAATTACTCGCTAGTTTTCACGAAATCCTATTTCGATCTCCGATTACGCGACGACGTGCATTGTGAGACTGCTCAGTTCGTCCGCGCAGAGATTTCCCATTCGAAGTGCGGGTGAGTTCAGCTAGACGCAGGGACTAAACTCTCCTGTTAAGTAATGTAAGTTAGCAGGTGCATGGTTATTGCCAACGTGTGCTCTAAGTTGCCGTCGAAATTCCGTCGGGTGCGAAATTTTAGCGCAGCTGTATCCGTTTGGAACATAGCGAGAGCAACCCCTCGTTTGTCGAATAGTGATGCACCTAGTGTGTGTTTACACGGCGGTACGTGCATCTGAAATTTACGCGGCAAGACCTAATATCAGAGTTCCACGTCAGCTATATAGAACGCAATCTGTCATAGCGTCGGACTGCACGGCCACTGCATCTATATCGTCGCATCTCTTTCGTCCATATAGTGCAACTACTTCAGTGTACGCGAGCCTTGGCAGTGCTCAAACTGGTCTCGCAAATTCAATCCAATTTCTATGGTTCAACGTCATGACATGTCCGGAAAAGGTTTCGAGCGGGCTTTTTACTTTAACTTAACCGCCCATTCGGACGACAAAAGCTAACGAATAAATGCCTTTTTCGGTTTGTCAACGGTCGGCAATTCGTAATACCGCTGGCAAATAACGTTTCGACGGCAGAATGAATATCTAAGGCGGTGACTTGGCGAGCTACCGATGACGTCCTGCCACGCCGGAAACCGTCCTCCTTGTGGCCGGTTCGCAGTGAAACAAATAATATCCGCTACCGGAAAAAAATAGATCGTCGCTAAGAACTCATCTCAGATAATCAATGTTTTGTACGGCGAGAAAACGTTCCCGCGGGCATGCGTGCCGATGACGTCACACAGCGCCATATAGCACTATAAGCCCATTAGGCACGCTGGGATGTAGATCAGTAGTAATTCACACGTAAGTAGATAGAGAAACACACGTTGTCGGATGTGAGCAGAATTACGGGAAATGCGAAACGCTCGTCATCCGTTGAGCTGGTTGCTTAAGAGCGCGCAAATGTCTTTGAAACAAGACCGGAGTACACTCTCACACTCGTCAGATAAGATTAGCAGAGATTGAAATATTTGCGCACATAATTCAAATAGAGACAAAGAACAATGTAAGTTTGATGCAAGAATTGGATGCTGCCTACCCGGCAGCTAAGGAAACAAAGAGTAAGAGAGAGGGAGAGAGAGAAAAAGAGAGGGGGAAGAGAGAGAGAGAGAA